AGATTAATATTTGGTGTTAATGATCTGCATGCTAGTTAAATAATGCGCTTGGTCATGTAATTAGGTAGGATGGATGATATTTCACCAAATTCCAGGACAGAAGATATTCTCGTCTCCTAACCGCAAATGCAGACACAGCCATAGCGTTAACTTTTGCGGCTTAATTTCCGAAGAAAATTAACGCAGGAACATGGAGTAAATCGAGAAATCAGACTAAATGCAGAGCGGGACAACTGAATTCAGTTAAAGGTCGGGAAACGTTCATCAGTGAGTGTCAATATATCCCGATCTAAACCGGTAAGACAACGAGCTTGTGGTTCAGTGGTTAGAGCGTTAGACTCTGGTTGAAAATGTCGCGAGTTCGAGCCTCGGAGGATGGGCCGATTGGGGCTAGGTATGACTGGTTTATGAGGGATAATAAACCATCAAGGGCCATTCTATTCGCCCTTATATTCGTCGGCATCACTATATACCTATACTCATAGGAGCTACGGCTGCTGCGAGGGCTCGTGAAGTGAGATCCAAGGCAGAGTGGTACAAGTGAGTTCCGTTAGCGGTCGGTGAACCTTCATCAACTAATGGAGCGTATCCTATGGAATCGACATCTACAGGCTCGAGCCAAAACGGAGTAAGAAGAGTTGCGCTGCAATCCATCGGTAACTACGGTATAACAGTGCAAAGTCACAAACTGCCAACGGGTAGTCAGTAATTATGTACCATACCGACAGTAAAGGTGCTAGCTAAAACCCCAGACACGCGTGATTCGCCGATCAAGTGCTGTCACCGATCGCAACTGCCCGGGGGGGGAGGGTTCGGCTCATTAATGGGTCCCCTAACGTTCTTCATGTGTTTTCTGAGATATATTAACTCCAGTTTTTGCCTGTCTTGTTTTATTTCTAAGGAAATTAATACATGAACTTAGATGAAGTCCTCCACCGCATCAGATGGCGGCACAGGATCGACGAAACGCGAGTTGCTAGGCTTTTACCTAGCATCTGTGTTCTCAATAAGGTAAGTAATTACGTAACTTAACCCTAAACTTAATCTCAATCCAACACCCTGACCGTAACACTAATCCTACCACTAACGCTAACTGTAGCCCTCGTGGGATTAAGCGCAAGGCCATCTTCATTACGCTGAGATTTACATATTTCCGCGTTGTATCCAGAAGTTATTTCGGTGTACAGGTAGTCTGGCTACATCTGGTGATGAAGGTGAGGCTGCGATAAACGTCTGAATTTCCTCGAGCATTAGGAAGCATAGCGTTCTCATTTAATGCTGGATGTAATGTGCGTCGAAAAATCTCCTAGCAGGAGCATACAAAATGTATGTATATAAGGGTGTTGAATTGAAACCGGCAAAGACAAGGGAGACCGGGATAGCCATCAGCCAGTCTTATCCAATCTCAGGGATGGTAACCCCGAGATTCGAACCCAGTATCTTTGGTCAATGACTGCAAAATTCTACCACTGCACCGCGGGCTCGTTGTTTCTGTTCATTGCGATCGGGAATATTATGAATGCTAGGGCGCTCACCGAGCTAGTTA